ATCAATGGCATCCTCTCCTTCTTCCCCTGAAGCCCTCACGGCCATCTTCCTCCTCTCGACATTACTCGTCTCCCGATTACCTCCGGCGAGCTCCGCCGCCTGCACTTCCGAGACCTTCTCCGGCCGCCGGCAACCCTACGACTCGTGCCTCGACCTCCCCACCCTCGACTCCCGCCTCCACTGGTCCTACGACCCGGCCCAATCCATCCTCGACATTGCCTTCACAACCCAAACCGCCGGGCCCAACGGGTGGGTCTCGTGGGCCATAAACCCGACGGGCCGGGGCATGGTGGGCTCGCAGGCCTTGGCCGCTTTCCAGGGCCCGGACGGGCAGATGACCGTCAGGAAATACAACGTGTCGTCATACGGCCCGTTGGGGGAGGAGTCGACCCGGTTGTGGTACGACGTGAGGGAGGCATCGGCTGAGTTTTCTGGCGGGCTCGTGAGGCTGTTCGCCACCCTGGCGCTGCCGGAGAAGGGGCTGGCGGCCGTGAACCACGTGTGGCAGACGGGCGGGTCGGTCACCGGTGGAGTGCCCGACAGGCACGCGTTCGGGCAGGGGAATTTGAATTCGATGGGGCGGTTGGATTTGCTGACTGCGCAGAGCACGGGCAAGGGCGGCTCCACGGCCGAGAAGAGGAATGTGAGTATTTTATTTGTATTTTTAGTGCTCTTGGTTTCAATTTTAGTTCCAATGTTCTAGTTTTTTGTCGTTTGGTCATGTGATTTAATATTTTGATCCAATTTCAGTGATTAAAATTACAACAAAATTTAAAATTTTGTTGTTTGTCGTTTGGTCCTGAAATTGCTGATTGAAATTAGAAATTTGAGAATTTATTGCATTTCAGTCCTCAAATGACCGAAATTGCACCAAAATATTAAATAACAAGACCAAAAGCGAAATGTTTGAATTTTAAGACTAAAATTGTTCTAACGTTAAACCAGCAGGACTAAAAATGAAAAATTGCCGTTACTTATACTACGAATAGTCGAAAATCTTGAAATGTTTGTGATTGATTTTCCCGTGTAAAATGGGTTGTCAGGTTCACGGAGTATTGAATGTCGTAAGCTGGGGAATATTATTTCCCATCGGTATCGTGTTCGTGAGATACTTGAGGAGTTTCCCGTCTGCTGACCCGGCCTGGTTTTACCTCCACATTTCTTGCCAGGCAATTTCGGCTCAATTATATTATAGTGCTTCATAATTTTATAAGGTATATGTGATTAGCTGTTTTAATTAATGTCCTTTTATTTTTTTTACTAGGTCACTGCGTATGCCATTGGGGTAGTTGGTTGGGCAACCGGTTTGAAGCTCGGTAGAGAATCAGAAGGCGTTACGTACTCTTATCATCGGAATATTGGGATCACGCTCTTCGTCCTAGCAACTACACAGGTACGTTTAGAAAAAAAAAAAAAAAAAAAAAAAAAAAAAAAAAAAAAAAAAAACTTATCGGAATTCGAAAATCGTGATCTTTAATGGGTAGTATAATTTTGTATCTGGTTGTCGGTATATTCAGGTATTTGGATCGGTGCTTAGACCTAAAAACGGTCATAAGTATCGATTTACTGGAACATCTATCATCATGGGGTCGGATACACAATTGTTGTGCTCTCTCTCATCAACGTGTTCAAAGGTTTCGACATATTAAGGCCCGAAGCCAAGTGGCGAGATGCTTATCTTGTTGTGAGTGTTGTGCTGGCTTCGGTTGCTTCATTGTTGGAAGTGATCACGTGGATCGCCACTCTAAGGAGGAAGAAAACAATGCATTAACCTTATAAATTTGTAAGACGAGTCTTGTCAGACGGGCATTCCAAATACCTTGAACGTTTTAGATCTAAGAATATTCGTAGATCGTATAACAAATTAAATGATTATGTATATTTGTTGAAAAAATATGGTTATAACGATCTGATACAAAATTTAGTGCACATATGACTTATTGTATGAGTAGAGTTGTTAAATTAAACGAGCCGCGTGTGAGTTCGGCTCGACTCGACTCGTTTGATAAATGAGCCGAGTTCAAGCTCATTTAAAGCTCGTTCAATTGACGAGCCGAACTCGTCAACTCGACTCGTTAAGGTTCAAAAAAATAATTTTTATATATTTTTTTATGCTCGATTTTGGTTCGAGCTCAACACATTAATATTGATAAATAAGTTCGACTTCGATTATAAGCTCGTTAAAGGCTCGAGCTCGAGCTCAACTCGTTTACACTCTATGCATAGGACCTTTCATTACTTGTTGACCATTCATAATTATTCGTGGCAAGATAATATATGGGGAACCCGTAACTTGTCAGCTTCTTTGATTTCTTAGGCAAACCAACAAGATAAGCTCTTTCGTAGCATTGAGTCACAGCATGACAAAGTAGCACAAAATATCTTTGTACGGAAGAGAAAAATATCTTCTCATTTCCAGAGTTTTACATATTTTAATTTAAGTCGACAGATCAACTCATCTTACTTTCGAAACAAAAATACAATTTCATGTTTGTGTTCATATTATTTTTGTAAGGATAAAAAATATCAAAGTATAAATAAACAGTATCTTCCTGATCATATCCGATATTTTGCTATAGTAATCATCTATAGTGAGTCGTTCGTGAATTCGACTCGATTAAATTGATTTGATAAACGAGCATAAGCTCATTTAAATCTCGTTTAAGTTCAATTCGTTAATATTAATAAACAAACAAAATTCAAGTTCATTTCATTAATTTAACTGTTAATAAATAGTATAATTTAATAAACACTCGAGTTAAACTCTGCTCGTTTCCACTGTGCAGCAGACCAACCCAATGGATTTTAGTAAGATTTTTTTAATAATACGGTATACGGAGGACCAATCTGACAATTCCAGCCAGGAAAAAAAATATCTTTCACTTGGGGGGCCGAATGCAAATAAATATCTGCCCAATCCACTTTGCGTGAGCGAACACAAAATACGAAACAGAGCGAAGGTAGAGAAAGAGAGCGAGAAAAAAATGGAGTTCGCGAGACCAAGCCGAAGCGACGTCCACCTGAACCGCCGTGAGGCGGCGGAGTTGGAGGCCGCCACCCGCCAGTACTTCGATGGGGTCGCACCTAAGCGGCACACCAAGCCCCAGCGCAGCGAGTACTCGTCCGCTTATGCTGACGCGATCTCCTCCGATGATGGCGTCATACCCGAGCACGTTCAGTTCCAGTATCTGGAGAAGGATAATGAGGTGAGATTGTTAATTTTAAAAATATAATGATCTTTTTTTTTTTAAATTTATTTTTCGTTTTGCTATTTAGGTATGAAGATCTGGTATCAGATCCATCTGAGGCCGTTATAATTTTCATATTTGGGCCACTTAATCACAAATTTTTGTTGATTCGAGTATTATTTTTTCCTCGATCGTCTATTGCAGAAACTAGTGTACAGTGGAGGTAAAGTTGATGAGGAATTTACTGAAACAGAATATTACAAGGATCTCAACGGAGTCGACAAGCAGCATCACACGGTAGCCGTTATTCCCAGAAAAATAAAACAATAATAAACTACTGTTATTTTATTATTGGTGCTGCTAATTTTGAATTTAATTAAGAAATTAGCAACGTGATGGTTATTGGAAAAAGACTCACTGTTAAAATATATATAATTATATTGTTATATGCCATCAGATGAGAAAATATATTATTATTGAAAGTTGGCCTGTCTGCTACTTCACAATCTCAATTATTATTTTCTTAGGCAAATATCCCCTGCCTTGTTTGCTAGCGCTGATATTCAAACTGAGTTGTTCGCAAACACTACTCAATTTGACATTAGATAACTTGTTCGTTTACTTAAATGAGCTGAGCTGAGCTACGTTGCGAACAACTATTCTTTTTTACGTTTTTTTCTTGTATAAGTTCCAAAAAAATGTCTGAGCGGAGCATGTTCGCAGACACAAAAATTCGCGAACTCATTTATGATTTTGGTTTGTTGAACATGTCGAGCCAAGCGTTTATTGAAAGAGCACGAGCTCGAACATGAAGTACTTGGCTCGGGTTGAATAACACCTATACTTGTTGGTTCTTAATTTTGAACTACTTAGATACTTCGAGTTTGCAAAGTGTTGACAAAATGCCAAATTCATATTGTGTGTTCTAACATTATTTTCCTTTATCAAGGTGTAAGCATCATAATTGACATAATTGCTAACAGTTAGTTTAGTAACAATTTCTTCTGTGTGTTTTGCTTGATATGCTAGACTGGATCAGGGTTCATAAGAGTGGACAGCTTAAAAGGAAAAAGCTTCAGCCTTTCATCTGATTCTTCTACTGAATGCCACCCCTCGTGCAGGGGAAACCCGGCTACGAACGATTGGATCCCGAATACCACTGAGATGGTAACACTCTCAAATTATAGTTGCGGTTTTCGTTTACTGAGAAGAAATTAATTTCTTTCGCAATGAAATTAACTAGTGAAACTCAATACTGGTCTACATTACTGTATATTTATTAATTTGGTATTAGTTAGAGTTGTGCAAGCACTTTTATTTTGTTGTTCATCTATTTTTTTTTTTCTCAGGTGGATTTTATCACTGACAAGCCCAGCAGGAGTGGTTGATTTGGGTGCATGAACCGTGTGTTTTCATTGCATATTTGGACATTATATTTGAAATGTGTGTGTTAATTTGTTGGTCCTCTAAGCAGGCTATGGTTAAGATGGTCTATGAATGAATAAAGATTTTTGCAACACATTTCAGCTTGTATGTTTGCGCAAACTGTATGCTTTTGTTATTATTCGGCTTTCATGGGGAAGAGATATATTAGTGTATCGTTTTTTATGAATACTAGTAAGGGACACGTGCGATGCACGTGGGGAAAATTAATTTTTTCTAATTTAGTTCACGAGGAGATGTGTGTTTTATGGTACTATTTTTTCTTAAACTCTCTCTTAATAGAAAGTATGTAGTGGTCGGGATAAATTATTAATTTTCTAAGGTAAAATAGATAGTAGATGAAATTATTTAAAAATGTAAAGTAAATGAACTATAGCAAAAAAGTAACAAAAGATTGTTCTTAAATTTAAACAGTAACTAAAGAATGTTCTTAAATTTAAATGATCTAAAGAAATAACTATGGTCTTCAACTCTTCTCTTTCTTTATGTTGATGATCGGAGAGGATGACTTCTTTCCCTTTCCTTTTGAATTTTTCCGCACACACTTCTTTTTAAGACTGCTGATTGTTTCATTATCCTCGATTTCAATCACACTATCATTGTCGTCTTCCTTTATCTTGTCAGCGACGCGTTTTTTTCTTAAAACTTGCATTTTTTGTGGCGCCCCTTGATTCTTTTGCAGATCACTTGGAGATTTGGGAGATTCTGATGACCTTTCGTTCATGTTATCATCATTGGTAGGTTTTAATCTTGCTATTGCTTCGGCAACCACGTTCATTTCTCCTCTTGAGTTGTAGGACTTATGATTTATTTTGATGAGAAATTGAAATTCGGTGGTTGATTGCAAGCTCAAGCCTCGATAGTAACCGGATGATTCTTCTCCCTAATGATTATGGAACGGAATTTGAGTTAAAATGGAGAATTTGAAGATGGATTGGAGTTATAAATTTGTGTATTTGAAGATGGTTTTGAGGAATTAATTGAAAAATTTATTTACCTGCTCAATAGATCTAATATAGTCTGCAACAGAACACCCCACGTAAATCATCCCGACATCTTCGAAAAGTGTGATAGTTCAAAATCTTACAGTTTGCACAAAAAAATTGTACCTTTTTTCTGCATATAGTTTGCATTAGAAGCTAACTTGAAAATCTTTTGATGCCAACCAACATCACCTTTTGGAAAAAGGAGGGGATATTGCAGTGGATCATAACATCCAAAATAATGCTTTATTCTATGTCTTGCACCTGAATGTGAATGAATAACAATGTCACGTTCAAAGGGAATATTAACATTATTTCCTTCAACCCATATTGCTGCGACTTGATCAGTTGTTGGACAATTATACACACGTTGGTCTAGTTTTGCATCCTTTGAGATATGAAGTCGAACTTCATCCATTGATGGATAGTCCTTCAATCGTCTAAAAACTTTTGCATATGGGTTTACATCCAAAACGGTAATGAGTTTGTTAACCGTAGATTTAGATAAAGAGGAGTTTGGAAATATGCCCATCCTATTCTCGACCTCTCGTTCTGTTTCCACAAAATACAACTGAAAATACCCAGGTCCATCTTCTTTAGGTAATAAGCTAGGAAGATCGTGATACACTACTCCCTGAGCTCGAAAAGTATAGACTCTTTGTCTTGCAGATGCAAGTTCTTTATCTAATTTGACCCCTAATGATGTAAAAGAGAACATACTGTTAAATAGGTGAATGTTTCTTCGAAACTGTTTTGCCTCTTCCGTTTGTGAAGTGAACAATTCATATAATTCACCAGGCACATCAATAGGAGCAAGTTTGACTTTCCCATTATCACAACAAAAGGTTGGACACTCGTACTGAAATTTCATTGCACCGCAATGTATGCAATTGGGCATTTTTTTCAACTCATGTACCGCTAAACATACATTCCCTTTGATAATTGAACCTAAAAAACGACAAATACCAATTATTTATTAAATCACATAAATGAATGAAATGCCAAATTTAGTTTTTTATGTACAATAATAATAGAGTATTAGTAATAATATATCTCTAGTAAATCACATTAAATACAATAGAAAACAATCAAATGTTAATATATTTTTCATAAATTGAAGCATACTCATTTTTTTATTAAGACATCATTTATATTTTTATTTGTACAAAAGTAAAGTATTGACTCCATTACAACTTTAATAACATCAAATATGGAATATGTAAATGCATTATGACAACCTAATATAAAAATATAAAAAACAATAAAAACAACAAATTCTTGAAGTATAAAAGAAGCATAGAGTACTCATTTAGATCTCATAAAACTATGTATATATTTTGTATTAGAGGATTAAATATTTCTAACCTTCAGGTCCAGATGAAACTTCATCAGCATCAAGACATGCAACACCCATATTTTGGCCCTTGCGATGTTTATTTTTGTTAGCACAATACACTTGCTTCTGATAAGGATCTAAATTGTTGTATCTTCTTTTCATCTTAGCCGCATTTCGACGTCGATATACATCCTTCACTGTGATAAATACAATTGAATAAAAATGTTAAAAAAAAAAAAATATATTAATGTAAAATAAATAATATAATGAAAATGTTTTACTATTAATTTATTACGGTGTATAAGTTGCATAAATAATTTAATATGAATTTTCAATTAGTTAATTATCATATGATATAATAGATGAAAAAAATGCATATTAATATGTATATAATTATATATATATATATATATTAATTACCTGTTAACAAATCAAATGTTGATGATTTTTCACTCATGCTACAAGTTGATAAGATCCTTTAAAAACCAAATTATTTTGCCAAAGAATAACAAAATTAATTAAAAAGCAAAAATAAAATATAAAATTAGCAAGAGAAGTGAAATTAAAATAGAGATTAATGTAAAGAAATATGTTGTCGAGATAATTTGTGGTCTCAATTTTAAGAAAACTATGACCAGAAACACAGTTTTTGATGAAAGATTACCATTACAAACCCATAGCGAAGGCTAATAAATCTAGCATTCAAATAAATATATTAACATTAAAATATAAATAAATATATTAGCATTATAAAATTTAGCATGAAAATCGATATAGGAAAAGTACATTCAAATAAATGGATTATAAAAATTAAAGTATGATTGATATTAACATTGTTTGATTGTAAATAAATAATCCCAGCAATATGTATGATTGTAAATAAATACTCCCAGACAATAAATACACCCAACAATATGTATGATTGTAAATTGGTTCCGAAATATCTATGATTGTAATTAAAACTAAAAATTAATAACAGAAAACAGTCCACATTAGGCGTAGTTAAAAAATGCCATATTCTACATTTATCCCTCGGAATATGTTTTCACGTACGTGCCTGAACACAGCGGAGTGTTTTGGATTCAATTTTCGATTACAAAGTGTATTGACTTTTAATTTTGGCATGCTTACCTAAGGAAATTCGAGACAGTTTCAACATCATAATTCACCACTGTAAACTCCATCTCAACAGATAGAAACTAATTAAACAGGAACTTAATATTTAACATTCATTTGGTAGTTGATAAAGGAAAAAAATTGAAGGCTAAATAATAGTAAAAAGTTAAGATTATCAACACTTAATAAAAAAAATAAAAACAAAAACAAAAATTAAATGCTAACTAATAGTAAAAAGTTAAAATTATCAAGATAAGGGGAATAAACATTGAACAACTCACTGGTGAGAAATCGATAACTCGAAACCCAAATTAATTTCCTTCACTTGCTGCATAGAAAAAGACATCTCATTACAAGAGATAAATTTTAAACTTAAGCAAAATACCTCAGTTCACCTTTTATTAGATAATCAAGGTATACAGTAAATGCATATATTTGGAGGTCATAAGAATATGCTGCAAACCCAAATGTTTCAATATGAGGTGAATAACAATACCAAGCATTTTGAACTGAAAATTTGAGCACTTTCTATCAAGACTAAAAGAGCTAAGCCGAAATTCAGATTGTTGTTCTTAATTGCTTTTTCGTTATTTTCTTGATGACCTGGCCTCGGGGTATAACAATATTTGGCAGAAAAATGGACAATTGAGATTTAATTGATTCTAACGAACTAAAATAGAGCAACTGAGATTTTATTGATTCTAAAGAACTAAAATAGAGCTGCTACATATCAATCACAATAAATGAAATATATTATTCTTGTACAAAACCGAGGACTTCGAGATTTAAGAATTCGATAATCCGATAACCAAGATGTATAAAATAATGGACAGATCCCAAGAAGCCATATCTAATAGAGCAGCTGAGATTTTATTGATTCTAAAGAACTAAAATAGAGCTGCTACATATCAATCGCAATAAATGAAATATATTATTCTTGTTCAAAACCAAGGACTTCGAGATTTAAGAATTCGATAATCTGATAACCAAGATGTATAAAATAATGGACAGATCCCAAGAAGCCATATCTAATTCATGAATTTTTCATGCCTCGAGGACCTCTGCAAAAACATAAAGGACTTGATTTGGAATAATTCTGACATGCATATACTTATCCCTATTTTGTTATTCATTTAAGAAGCACGATATTCCTATTATTAAGGAAAAAAATCACCATCTAAAGTATTCTGCAAATTTTACAGCATATATGGCCTTTGCCCAAAATAACACGTCATACACTAAGCCTAAATCGTAAATATCCTCTGCTTATGTGACACCTTCAACACTGAAATATATGTATATATATCCTCCGAATATTACCTTCAACAAAATAGCAACTAAAATAATGAGATTGTGTCTACCCCTGTCAGAGTCACCTCATCTAATCAATGGGATTGTGTCTACCCCTGTCAGAGTCACCTCACCTAAGCACATTTTGCATATAGCAAAAACTGGCGAGTAGTGCTCGCGATGCTGGTTAGATTTGGTCTTTTGTAGTTATGTATTTTCACTAATACAATTTTTTTTCCCAAATAAACAAATGAAACTCGTTTGTCCTAAACTCTCTTCAGACAGAAAAATACTAATGATCCCAAGAGGAATACATCGTCCAGTGAGCGCAATCACTATAACACTAAAACATTTAAGAAGTTATCTTAGTGAGATTCCAAATCTGTCCTTCTATCAAAGCTGTGCATTTTGTCTATTTGACAAAAGGATATAATTTCAATCCTTTTAGTCTACAATTTTACCTTATTTTATTAACTGTGTCCACTATATCTTCCTAGCCCTCATTTGAGCATGAAATTTCCAAGTCAATTTAAGTGTTTGGAAATATGAAAGTAGCTTAACATTGTGAAAGGACTCCAAAAAGATAATAAAACGAATCATCACATTGAAAATTAGATAACCTAATTTGTATGGGCCATCAATAATATATTTCATTTGATGTATTGATAGATAAATTTTAAGTTGCACAAGGATGTGGGCTTCGGATAATGCACATAAACGAATTGATTTCATAAAGCAAGAACCATTTTTCCGAGTAGGATCTCTTATACCAGATGGAGGAGCTACATTTATTGAGGTCATTCTTTTCTCATTGTCAAGGAAGATTCAGATCTACAACAGCCTGGATAATAATTATGCAATAAATTAGAGGGGAAGTTGATAAATCCAATTTATGAAAGCACAAACTGCAATGCAATAATTACACAGAGATGTATAAAGCCCTCCACGGTCATTTTTTCTTTTTCTTTTTACATCAAAGTGGTTAAACTAATGATTCAACAACAAAATCAGTTCAACTGTTCAATATACCAGTGAGGATATTTACATCAACTAAATAAAGCTAAGACTTTTCCAGTCACAAAACCACAGGGAATTATAACAAAATTTTCTCTATCAGCTACATAAGATGTGCAGAAACAAAAATTAAGATGGACTGATTATATGAAAAAACCCATACAGAAAGAAGCTTTCAGAATTATAACCAAGTAAAAATTGCTAAACATCAAGCACATATCCAACGAAAACTAATAAATATACACAAACCCAACAACAATTTTTTTTTTTTTTTTAAAATATATCATGACTAAAAAATCCAGCCAAATACCAGCACCTTGTATAATCCGACAGCCGACTGTGAAAAACCCCATTGTATTATAACTCGAAAAAGGAAAGAAAGAAAAATCCTTACCAGGGATTCGTGAAGATGACCGACGTGGGGCGCAACAAAATAATGAAGTCCTACCTATGGGAGTCTACGGCTTTCGGATTTCGTGATTGATCGACGGAGCTTTCTGAAAAGAGTCGTCTTCTTCGATGGAGCTTTCTGAAAAGAGTCGTCTTCTCCGATGGAATAGTTTTGGGCTGTGCGCGTTTTTTTGGGAGGAGAGAATGAGCGGGCCGAATGTCGCTTTGTGAAGGGATTTGGGGGAAGATAATTCGGTAATGTCTCTTTGCGTAAGATTTGTGGACAGATAATTAGGTTTAAGACTATTATTAATATTAAATTAAATAAAAATTATTTAGCAAAGTAAGGTTAATTTAGGCAAAACATAATTTTACAGATTCATTGGTCCTTTTAGAATAGTAGAGATAGAGATCAATATCAGTGGTTATTACATTACTCAGAGTCTTATCTTTCCTATCAATTAGACGCTCTACCTTTTAGTTGTGATGAGTCTCGCATGTTATATTATGTAAAACAGAAACATATATGTGATTATGTGAAACAAAAACAGATGTACCAAATGAATACAAGGTGGTTTCAGAGGTGTAAACTGCCAAACCACCAAAGAACAAATGAAAGTTACTCCATTCTACAAATTATTCATCATCACTGGGTTATGTCAATGTATACAGTTTTAAAGATTGAGAAAACATTGAAGTTTTTTTATTGGTAGATCTCTTGTATCACTGCTTATGTTTTACTTCGTGTTCATGTGGGTATATTTTGGAACAATACCCTTTGATGTCATTGCTATGTTTTATTTCAAACTACATTAATGAATAACATGTGTGCATATATAATGTTATTATCACATATACGGAAATGCTTACATGCCCACGGTCGGCACATGTTAATATGCCAACGGCTTATGTGTCATGTACACATTGGTGATGTTAATATGTTAAATAAATACATCACCAATGTGTGCATGCCACATAAGCAGTGTGCATATTAACATGTGGCCACCGTGGGCATGTGAGCACTTCCCATCATATATATATTGTTCATGAAGTAATATGAATCACGAAATTGGATCAGAACTGCTATGAAATACGAAATGGAATAGAAAAGTTTTGAATAAAGAAAAATAAATGGGTGGAAACAGCTACATCGGGCGCCAATAAAGTGTAATCTACACATTTCAATTCATTTCATATCAATTAATTTCAATTTGATATGATCCCAATCAAGAAAGTTGTGTAGTACAAAATTCTTTGGGCCTTATCAATAGACCAACCTATATAAGCTGAAGATGACATTGGCCTAAAGCAAATTGTACATACCCAATATAGAATCACAAAAGCCTAGCCCGCTTTATTTTTTTGACACCTCATATATATAAACATTGAGCCACCGCAGGAGGAGGAAGAGCCACCTCGTCGCCGCCAGGTTTGAGCCTCCATTAGGGCTGTAAACGAGCCAAAGCCGAGCCGAGCTCAGCTCGTTAAATAAACGAGTCTGAAATCGAGCTCCAGCTCGAGCTCGGCTCGTATAACACCCATAACGAGCCGTTCTCGAACTTTAACAAGTTGAATTATAGAAAATTATATAAAAATTCTCTTTTTGAGCCATAACTAACCTTATTGAGCCGAGCTCGGCTCGTTTACCAAACGAGCTTTAAATGAATTTGAGCCGAACCAATCCAGACTCGTTTTATTTAACAACACTAACCTCCATAAAATTTTCCGTCGATACTGATTCAAAATCTGCATTTACTGTTACTCATTGTTTATGTAGAAGAATAATCTCCGTTTTGCATGTTCTATTCATGTAGCTAACTGGTTTCATGTTTATATGTGGTTTCTTTATGAAATAGTTAACCATTAGGGTGCATGAATTACTATCTTATTATCTGCAAAGAAAATGAGGAAACTTCTTGTAGGTTTTAAAATTCCACAATCCATAAAAGTTTATGTTATTTTTTTTAAATTGCAAATGAAGACATGATCCCTTATATTTCTTGCTACAATCAATTCTAGGCTTCTATATCTAGGTTCTTACCCCACGAAGTTTTTATTTCTTAGTGATGTTCCCACAAAATTAGTATGAAAAACGTTTGGAATACAAATTGGCAATGAATTAATGAATTTACCCATCAAAATCAAATTGGTAACTTACATAGATATAAACACAGAACTAATTGTTAGACAATTTCCAAAATTTCAATTATTTGTTAGACAATTGTAATTTATTTAATAATTTGTATACTTTCAGTTAGACAAATGTAATTGTTAGACAATTATTTTTTATTAATTAATTTTGTATAGTTTCATACAATTAATTTTCATACTTTAAAAAGTAATATAAATAAAAACATTATACTTTCAATGTATATTTTTAAAAGTGTTATGATCATCCCATTTAGTTGTTACGTCGAAACATTATAAGCTCGTGGATTTCATGGATAACGTAGAGCCAACAACAACCGCCCATTTTTCCTTTCCATCAATATAAATAATCAGAAAAAATAGAAACAGTCATTTTTGTTCTTTAAACTTTCAACTTTAATACCAAACAAATAATTTTCTCTTAACAAGAAAAAAAAAAATCAAATTATCCTCAGAATTATCTAAAACAAAAAACAATCGCACAAACTCTTTACAAAAACTGTGGTCTCCGGTTTTTCCACTTTTCTTCGTCAGCTGTTTTTCCCTGCAGAAATCCACCGCAGAAATCCATGGCGAACACAATCCCATAGGCCCAATCAGCTAAAGGCGCTACCTTTATGCCAAAAAAAAAATGGAATCTTGCGCACGACGTCGTTTATCTCTCCTTTATTCCCATATCAACCCACCTTCAGAACCCACAACGCTGCCCGCTCGCCTTGTTGCTTCAGCTTGCGCTGTGGATGCCAATGGAGGGCACGCAGTTGAAAGGGGGCACAATGATTGTGTGTTTTGCAAGATTATTCGCGGCGAAGCTCCTGCTCTCAAGGTGCATTTTTTAATCTATCCCTTTTCTTCTTCTTTCTTGTAATCTTTTTTTCCGCTTTCTCTCTAATTGGATGGTGCCAATTTCGTGTGCTTGAATGGATAAATTTATTTTACTGAGTAGAAGCTGAAAATCAGTTTATTTTTTCGTTTTGGGTTTGTGCAAGTAAGTGTGTGTGGTGGTTGTGTGTTTTATGTCATTTCAGTAGTCTAATTTTGACCAAAGTGTGTATCAGTGTATAGAAAGTGATGGTGTCTCGAGGGCATGGCTCTAATGGGGTGAGTTTGATTATTTGGTTCTTGTTTTAGACAAAGTGTAGATAAATTTGCCACCCCGCTTCAAATGAAGGTAATTTGATATGTATGTCTAAAATAGATTGTGAGAGGTGCTGCGAAGGTATTGTCTTTTCTTCCATAAAACCTTCGAGCTTAAATGTAAGAAAAGTGAAAGATTTGATATGTATAAGACAATTGAGCTATTGTCTGTTTAACCCATTTTGATCAGTGGGTGCAGTGGTTATTGACTTAGAATTCACCTAGCATCATTTGAACTCAGGAATCTCACTCCTTGTTAAATCTTAGAACTTTTAATATTATGTGTTTTGACTTATCGTGGCCCCAAATGTGTTGAAAGTAAACATAGTGGCTCTTATGAATACGTTTATCCGATAGATTCAAAAGATTGATGATTCAAAGAAGTTTAAAAGGAATTGAAACTTGTGTATGATCTGGTCTATATGACCGGGAGT